TTTTTTTTTTTTTTTTTTTTTTTTTTTTTTTTTGCTCTTAACAAAATGATGTTAATCAGTTTAACTGGTTGGTTTGGTTGTAAAAATTATTTTGCACAAAAAAAAGAACGTAGAACGCTGAAAATACCGATGAAACAAAAACACACACATACACACACAGATGATGAAAAAGCTGAAGAAAGACAACGAAGATTGAAAAGTTTATTTCATGATTGAATCGGCTAACAAATTGCACTGTAATAGCAATTAGTTACTCTGAAGTACCTGCTTACAAATACCAAGAGCATATTTCTTTTTTGTTGATATTTACACTTTTTTTTGTGCAGTATTTTGTTAGATGTACCCTTAATTTTTGGTCAGTAAATGATTTCCACATTTACAAAAATAAATAGAGGTGCACGAGAACAAAAAAAAAGAAGACTCAAAGGTTTTAAACATTCTTTGCCCACTTATTCCACTAATCAATGCACAAAGTTTTGAATAACCTAAATGAATAGAACCAGACTAATCTATAACTTATCAGAAGATTTCTTTTAAAAAAATAGCAAGATGAAATAAAGGTTACAGTAAAATAAAACTTGGTAATACCAACGTTGTCGTATAAACTGTTCCAGCGAACAGCTTCTAAAACTCTTCAGCCACTAAGTCATTTCAAGAACAGCAGTCAACATGTTTTAGTCGAATTTTTTTAGTCTTTTAGTCTCCATTGTATTTTCCCAGTTCCCTAGGCGCTATTTTAGGAACAGTACCGAATAAAAGTCACTAAACAGAACGATACAGCTCCAAATTTTTTAGGGCTTTAATTGATCAACATTAAGTTTGGCAGTACAGCAAGAAAAAACTATTCACATTCCAAAACTTTCTTAATGTACAAATTTAGTTTATGACATTTAGTTAAAGCAGTTTCGGAAAAAAATTTTGAAAAATTGATCTTTACTATCATTAAGGAGAAAAAAAAAACAAAAGAAAAAATGCAACCTTTTTTTTGTTATATTATTCCTGTGAAGAAAGAAATGAAGTCTTTTTTCTAGAAATAGAATCAGCAAAGTTGAACTTTTTCACTTAAATTAAAGAAGGAATTACAACAAAATCGTTAAAAATCAAAATCTTTTTTGTTTTTTTTTTTTTGATATTGAAAAATATAAGAATGCTCTTAAAAAGTTGTGGCATTTAAAAGTTTGATTTAAGATTGTAATTATATCAAAAAGTCATTCATTAAACTAAGTCACCATTACTCAGTTATTTCACTCTTATTATACCAAAGAAGTTATTTCTAGTTCTAACAATAATTATAGCGTTGAAGAACAATTGGTAATCAAAATTAAAATATTAAATCTAGAAGAATTTAGTTGTCTAAAGATTACTTCTTTGTTTAAGACAATCTAATCTGATGCTCAAAAAATTTTTCACTCTATCCTCTTCTTATAAAAAAAAAAAAAGAGAGACCTAAGAAAAAACTGTAAAACTAAGTCTATCACCCAGTTTTTTCAGACGCCAGTAATTTCTGAACATTGAATGCTGTACATAAATCTTCTAATTAAACAAAAAAGAAGAGAAAAAAGTTTGCAAAATTATAAAAAAATAGCGAAAATTTTTTTATAACCGGCATAGAAATTTGAGATTGAAATTCTGTTTCTGAAATTATCAGATTTGTGACTGTGGTGTATGGCATCTGCTGAAAAATATCGGTTGCGCGACCAGGAAAATCAACGATCTACCAGGTGCAAAAGCTGTTCTGTTTTGAAAGATCTCAGAATTCGAAACAATATTTGTATGTATGACTATTTTTTCCAAAATAATTCAAGACTTAAGCGAAAAAAAGAAAAAAAAAGAAAGTTGGAAACGGCAGTTAGATTTTTTGAACCGATGCAGCTTTTTTTGTGTTTCTTCGTACTTTCATCCTCCTAATACACACCTCCTTATTCTGCTATCCATACTGTTTTTTTTCCGCATTTCTATGCCTCTTCTCCTCTGTTTTCCTTCTTTTTTCTTTTCTTTTCTTATTTTTTGTTTTCTAATTTTCTTAAGCGAACAATATGTGCTAAAAAAAAACATCTTCTGAATAGCTCTTAATTAATCTTTTTGTCAGATACACTATCGTTTATGGTGTCGAATGTCATAGAAAAGAATTTATCCACTTAAAGCTGATAAACAGAAACTGAATTAAAGAAGTTGGCTGTTGTTGTTTGCTGTTATCAGTTATCAGTTATGTTAGCTGTTTGCAATGGCTGTTGCTACTGAACAGCTAACGTTTAAAAGCTTCAAAAGTTGTGGCAATTTGGAAAACGGCTTACAGACTAATGTTTATAACTAATGCTTATTAAATTAATAGATTTTTGAAGCAGCAAAAAATAAGAAAAGAAAAGAAAAAGTGACAAGAATTACAAAAAACTTTACAGATATGGAATAAAGAATATGTAACCTTTAGAAAGTTTACTTTTTTTTTTCTATTTCAAATATATCAAAATAGCTGTACAAAAATTCTTGTTTACAATTATTATTTATTACTTCCTATAAGTCTCGACTATTTTTTTGTATATCTTTTTATGTCTATAGTTATAATGTATCAATGGTAATGCAGTAACGTAGAGACTGCGGTGTCCGTAAAAATTTTTCTGGACAGATGTGCTAAAAGTCAGCAGATTGACATTTAAATGACAAATTTGGGAATAGATATTATTCAATCTTTGTTATAAACAGTCTTTCAAAGTTTTAAGAATAATAAAGTGTTGAAAAAAGCAGCAAAAAAAATCTTGATTTTTTGTTTTTGCATAAAACAATTAAACTGATTAAAAAAATTCAATTTTTAAAAGCGAAAAAAAAATTCAGTTTTTTTTTCTAGTTTTGTCAAATTAGCTATTAAAATGGTCAGCAAAAACTGGTAAAAATACTTGTCAATTGATTGTTAACTTTAATCAAATTGCTAATCTTTTTAAAACTACAAAATCACTATGGCATTTTGGTATTGATATCTGTTAAACTACAAAAAATTCTTAATTTTTCTTGTTTTCAACAATATTAAATCTTTATAAACTGTGTGTTTATAAGTGTTAAATAAACGCCTTTTTTAAAGTATCAGCTAAAATACTTATGCCAAATAAAATTTTTGTGGTTTATTCGCTTCTTGAAATAATACTGAAACAATAAAAATACTCTTGTCTAATAGATGATAATTGATTTGCAATCAAAGTCAGGTAAAAAAAGTATATTAAAAATTTTTTAGCTTTAACATTTAGTCTTCAATATCTTAAAGTTGTAATGAAGAAAAAAACAAAGCAGGAGAAAAGTTTTTGGGAGTTTGAACAGTTTTATTTTTTGTGATTTTGAACAACGACAAAGTGGCACTGCATTACTTATAAATGGGATAATCTTTAAAGTTGAAACGATGGCACATATCAAAGCAGAAAGAAAAAAGTGAACAAAAAATAAATGTATACTTCTTTGGTTTATTTAAATTACAATTTTATTTGCCTATCAATGTATAATTTTTTTTTTTGCTTTGTTTTGCTTTTTTTTTCTAAAACTGTTTTCTTAAAGGTTTACCATTGCTAAGAAAATTAGCATTTTCAAATGCAAAATCGTTCGGCAGCAATTGAATGATAATTGGCTATTATCAGCAGATAATAACTGTTGTCCGAAAACCAAAAAGCTTTTTTTGTTTTTGTTTAGAACAAAAGAGAAGAAAAATTAACAAAAAAAAAATATGTATATTTAAAAAATAAATGTAATCTTGGTTTCTTTTTTTTTTTTTTTTGCCCGAGCTGTACAAGTTTTAAATGCTGCAAACATATGGCCTTTTGTCAGTGGTATGTTACGAATAACAACCATTAACACGTGTGTTTAACTTTTAAACTTAAAGCAACATTTAAGGTTTTAAGACTGTTCTTTGTAAAATTAGGCATCTTTTTTTTTTTTTTGCTGTTGTTGAGAGCAAGAGAAAATTGCTCATATACAATTGTGCAACCCTATCAAAATTTATTTGTAAAAGCAAATTTTTTTTCATACTTTGTGGTCATAATTAATTTAACAAAACACTGATATTTGAAACTAATTTCTACTGACTGTGACCTACAGTTAAATCAGCGATCAAACATTCTCAAAATGAACGTTGATCGTTCAGGAAAGCATTACTAGAATATGCTCTAAAATATTTAATAATTAAGACAAAAAAAAGCAGAAGTTAAGTTAAAAAACGAGCAAGAGAGATTGATGGCTAAAACAAGACTTTGGAAAATCAAATTATTATCGATCACATAAATGATACTGCAAAGGTGTATCGAACGTCTTGATACTTGCAGACTGCCAGGTAAAAATCGCAGTATGCTAAAAAATACAGTCATTCATTAAAAACAGTATTTTCAAAAATTTTCACAGTAAAGTTTTGATGAGATAAAAACATTTCAGTTAGCTGTTGTAGTTGACGTGAGTGTCTATTTGAAGATTTCTCGTAATGTCTAATAGGTTGTAATAAGCCTCACCACTAGTTACATGTACTTAATTGCAGTTTTTTTATGTGCCAGTATCAAGCAGTACTGAGTTAGAAGTGCTAGAAGTCTTCGGTGTTCTAGTACAACAAATTATACAAATACGAAAGGACTATGACTTTGACACATAAAAAAAAAATGAAAACATGTAGCAACATGATGAGACTGAAAGGGTTTTCGGGCTCGATAGAGAACAGTGAATTTGATTGCCTTTAAGTCGTAAACAGAATGGTAGCATCACAAAAATAAACTATTAAAAGAAGATCAGGACAGTTTACAAAACTTTT